AGGGGTACGTCTAGACTACAGGGTTTTGTCGACAGAAGTTTTGTCGACAGATACTGTCGACAAAGAGCGTCTAGACTCCATCCAGTTCTGTCGACAAAGCAAGCCGCTTTGTCGACATGACAGTGTGGACGCAAAGGGCCGTGTAGATGCAATAATGCCTTCTATTGACAGAGCTCTGTCGACAAAAGGCGTTATTCCTCGTAGAATGAGGTTTACGTATGTCGACAAAACTGCTGAGTTCTGTCAACGTTATGTCGACAACTCAAAGGCAGTGTGGACGCAGGTATGGTTTTGTCGACAAAAGTCCAATTTTGTCGCCAAAACCCTGTAGTCTAGACACACCCAGGGAGTGGGGAATACTTTGTGAGTTTCAAATGTGTGAGTGGGAGACAAGGAGGGTGTTGCCTGCAACTTCTAGATGAGCCACCTTTAAACAATCTTTTGTCCTTCAGTCTGAGCAGTGGTTGGTAGGGAGTGGCCTCACCTTAACAAAAGGAAAAGGAAAGCAGAGGCCCGGGTCTTTTGGCTGGGCTGCACCTGAAGGAAGGGGCCAGGGACCTCAGGGTGGGGAAGAGCGCCCTGGTTTGGAGGAGCAGCTGGAAAAGAAGTTTTAGGGTAAGTTTGATGAAGTTTGTACTGAGGTGTCAGTGGAGAATTAGCCAAGCGGTTTTGTGTCTTTTGATTCGTAACCTACTTTGCTCTGCCTGTTCTCACTTCTAACCACTTAAACCCGACTGCTTCCACTTAATAGAATCATTTTATTTTCTATCAAACCCAGTGTCATTGTTACCTGGGGGGGCAACCAATGTGCACCTTCCCCCTTTCATTGTTAAAGGGGACTGACCTAATTCTTTGGGGTTTGATCCCATCTGGGGAGTGCTACCTTAGGAAGGTGGTTCAGTGTCTGTGCTGCTTCTCGGTGGGGACAGGGACCTCAGCTCGGGTCTTTGGCTGGGGGAGACCAATGGAGCGGACCCAGCAGGACCGGGCGGTGAGGAGTCCCAGAGAGCGGGAAGTGAGTGGCCGTGGCCGTGTCAGCATCCTGAGGGGTCGTCTGTGACCTCACCCCATCACATAAGCATCCCAGGGAATCCTGCCCATCAGTTTTCTGAGGGAGTCGAAGTCTGCTTCTCTGAAGTCCAGGGCGTGTGTTTTGCTACTCTCCTTTCTTCCTTTGGGCAGGATCCGGAAATCGACCATGGTGCCCAGGTTGTCACCCACCTCTACTTCCCCTCCTAGTTCCTCCCTGTGTGTGAGCAGCAGGTCAAGCTGCACACGGCCGCTGGTCAGTATCCCAGAGTTCAGTGCGGTTCCTGCTTTGCAAGAGCTGGTCTCCATGCTGGATGCTAATGGAGAAATCTCTTTGTTCTGTCTTCCTTGAAGATGAGCCTGGGGTGTTTCTTTAATTCTATCCCCTTGTCTGAAGGGGCTTAGGTGGGTCTTCCCTGGCCTTTTCCTTGCAGTTGTCTTTGATTCAAGTAGAGGCCTGGGGAAGGGGGATGGCTTTATATGAGTGTCCCTCCCTGGCTCCCCAAGAACACAGAGCTGGTAAGTAACAATTGTCAGCATGTGGTGTTGTCTGGTTTAGGTAGGGCTGCTTGTCTGTAACTCCAAGGCCGCCTTGGTCTGGCACCAATCTCTTTTCCTTAGGGCTCATTTTCACTCCTCCTTTGGCCATCTGGACGCTGAGGAGACCTTGGAGTTTTATCTCTTTCTCCAAAGCTTCGTATTCCTTGCCCGTTCACTCCCCCCACACCCCAAGGACTACATAATTGCTTCATGTAGGCGGAGGGATAGAATTGCCTTTGTAAGGTTCCAATTCGAATCTCCACTCTTGTTAGTACAAAACTTCAGTTATTTAGTACGGCTCTTTTACCCCACAGCCTGCATTCCAGTTAGCCGGAGGCCTAACAGTGTGGTCTTGCTGAGTCGCAGAGGTTCTTCTGGTCTCTTTCTGTCTTGACGTTAGATACAGACACAAACAGTCTGCTTGATGCTTCTTTAAAACTAATAAAAGAAAAGAAAGTTCTTCACACAGCGTGTAGTCAACCTGTGGAACTCCTTGCCGGAGGAGGCTGTGAAGGCTAGGACTATAACAGAATTTAAAGAGAAGCTAGATAATTTCATGGAGGTTAGATCCATAAAAGGCTATTAGCCAGGGGATAAAATGGTGTCCTTGGCCTCTGTTTGTCAGAGGCTGGAGAGAGATGGCAGGAGACAAATCGCTTGATCGTTGTCTTCGGTCCACCCTCTCTGGGGCACCTGGTGTTGGCCACTGTTGGTAGACAGGATACTGGGCTAGAAGGACCTTTGGTCTGACCCAGTACGGCCGTTCTTATGTTCTTTACCGACGGCCTGAAAGAATAGCCAGAGAGGGGCGTTTGGCGGGGTTATAGGCAACCGACGGCCTGAAAGAATAGCCAGAGAGGGGCGTTCGGCGGGGTTACAGGCATTTAACATTTATTCTTACGCTACCCATTAAGCACAATACATAAAACATCTTAGCCTTGTCTCAATCCAGCCATCTCTGCCCCAGGGCATGTTGGGTAAACCTGGCCAATGGCTTAGCTGAGCCCCGTTAGCCTATATCTCTCCTGATGTCTCTGTTTCTCCAGAGCTCGTGGACCTCCTCTGCAGCACCCTGGGCTCCTACCCCGACGGCCTGCCTGTGGTCAGCCTGAGGAAAGCCATGTGGCAGCAGCACGGGGTGAACCTGGAGCAGTACAGCCAGCAACGGGGATTTCTGAACACCCTGGACTATCTGACCACGCTGGATGAGGTCAGACTGCAGGGGCTGGAGAGAGGGGACAGTTGTCTTGTCAAGCTTCACACAGGTGAGGAGAAAGGGCTGGAGTCCAGGCGTCAGGGCTGACCAAGTCCTGGTTAAGTATGAGGGCATTTTATCCCACCGCTGACACCAATGGACATCTTGCAGCTTCCTCGGAGGCCCACTTGCGTGTGTGGGCTTGGGTTCCTACTGGTGGTTTTTGGGCTTAACTAAGGTGTCCGGGATGAAACGCTACCACCTGGAGGCAGCATGAGGAACCCTTGTCTGTGACATAGTTAGGGCGACACGGTGTCAGTCTAGATGGCGTATTGCGTGTGTCGACGGTTACTGGCTTCCAGGAGCTGTCCCGCCATGCCCTTCCCTGCTAGTCCAACGGTCACAAGCGCTGCTGGTGAGGACACGCACTGACAATACAAGGAACTAAGTTCCATTTAATAGCCACGGTGCCCATGTGCCGACCGAATTTTATAGTGGCGTCGTGGCCTTCGGCGCATCTAGAGTCAAACCAAATTGAAGTTTATTTGACTGAGCGTGTGGCAGATTCAAAGAAGGGCTTGCAAACGTGAGATTGCAGGGAAAAGCAACCCATAACATGCCACTTCGGCCTCTGGTTTGTTAGCAGACAGGACAAGAATGTGTTAAGATATTTCTCACCCGAAACCTCGGCCCCTACGACGCTTGGCCGGCCCAGAGAGCTGGGATTTCTGGAGGCACTCCTGCTGTCAAAGTAATGGAGATCATCTCGGGCCCATTTCTTCTCTTGTAGGGCGGGTCTACACTTGAAGCCAGCCGGGCGGTGCTCACATCCCCAAGCAATGTGGTTGAGCGGGCTTAACTTTCTGGCTGTTATAATCCCCCATTTGTGTTCCTCTTTCACGAACCAGGCCTTTCAATATAGTTCGCTTTTGTTTTGGTAAATGCCGGGGCTCGTACCAGCCCCGGACTGTAAACAGGGTAGGGTTGGATCGAAAGATGCTGATGGATTTGCTCTGTTTTGGGCTAGTTGAGGCCCACCCTGCCTCGGGCGCGGGTGGGGAGACCCGTTTCACCTCCAGCTGTTTTGGAACCGAACTTTCCCATGCCAACACAACATGCTAGCCATGAGCGTACGCCAGACCTTTGCCTTCTGCCACATGCTCCCTTCGGAGCCTATCGCTTCCGTACGGTTTTTATACCTGTCTGGGCAGGTCTGTGCCACCTTCCCCAGTGCAGTGGCCTCTCCTGCGGCACCAGGCGTCCCTGCCACAAGGCAAGGCCTCCTGCCCTCAGGAACGGACACCGGGTGTGTGGTGGGAGATGCCGTTTGATCAGGGCGGCTCAGCTGTAGAGGAGGATGGGGGGAGGGCTTGACATACGCTGGTGACTTTTCTGAATGGAAAGATTTACAATTTTTTTTTTTACATGCAAACTTGAAATTTTCTGTGCAAGGCTTGGGCAGAAACAACTTTTTCGATCTTTTTCTCTTGGACGGACGGGTCTGTTTCTCGTTTTTGTTATGAAAATAAGTTGTTTTCTGCTGGTTTGTTGCCAAAATGACTTTTAACCTTCCATTTTTGTCTTTTTTTTGTTGTTTCTCTTCCCTTTTTATCTCTCTCCTCCTGTTTCTTTTTTCCCTGCCCCTTTATTGCTGTTTTTCTTCCCGCCTTCCCAGCAGGATCTGCGCCCAGGCCGCCACCTCTGGATCCCGCTGGGTTTCCTTCATCCGAGCTCTGGCTCGGCCCCCCCACCAGCGCCACCCCCACTACAGCTCTACCGCCCATGGCTGCTGCCTGCCTGGATCCCACCAGCGTGCCACCGGCATCAACCACAAAGCCAGGTGAGGCCTGGGGGGAGGGGCTGCTGCCCACCCTAGGGGAGGCTGGCTAGTTAGGATCCTACATGTGGGAAGCGCTGGTTCTCGGCCCGGCTGAGCAGGGAGGCCGAGGGCTGGACCAGACCCAAAGGCTGCTTCCTCCATGTCCTACCCTAAGGAGGCAGTGTCCCAGTGCATGCTGGGAAAACTTGATCAATGGCCTGTTAGTATCCTGCTGTCCAAATGTCTCTGTTCCAGGGGATGCTGGGAAAACCTGGCCTATGGGCGGCCATACCCTACTGCCCAGCCATCTCTGCCCTGGTGCATGCTGGGAAAACCTGGCCTATGGGCGGCCGTACCCTACTGCCCAGCCATCTCTGCCCTGGTGCATGCTGCGAAAACCTGGCCTATGGGCGGCCATACCCCACTGTCCATCCATCTCTGTCCTGGTGCATGCTGGGAAAACCTGGCCTATGGGCAGCCATACCCTACTGCCCAGCTGTCTCTGCCCTGGTGCATGCTGGGAAAACCTGGGCTATGGGCGGCCATACCCCACTGTCCATCCATCTCTGCCCTGGTGCATGCTGGGATAACCTGGCCTATGGCCGGCCATACCCTACTGTCTGTCTGTCTCTGCCCTGGTGCATGCTGGGAAAACATGGCCAATACCCCCCACACAGTCTCTGTGGGTGGTGGTTTCCAAGGGTTTATGTTTGGGGTCTCCACTTCCTGACGCTCAGGCCTGCCCTCTCCCCCTCTCTGCAGACTTGAGTGAAATCCAGGCCCATGTCTCTCGCACCCTGAGCCGCCATCCCAAGGGCATGAGGGTGAAGCAGCTGGTGAAGGCCCTGCTGAAGGAGCACGGGGTGGACCTGCTGGAGATCAGCCAGGACAGGGGATACTGGGGGGTTGTGTTGTTCCTCCAGGGGGTGCCGGGCATCGAGCTCTGGAACCCGGAGAAGGGAGAGAAGTGCCGCGCCGTGAGCAGTGTCTTTAAGAAGGGTAGGTGTGTGTGTGTGTGGGGGGGACTTCCTGTGGGGCTGCCTGGGCCCCGCCCGCTTCCTGAGTGGGGTGAGCCCTCACACTGGCCTCTCCGCACCCAGCTGTGTCTGCCCCAGTGCATGCTGGGGAAACCTGGCCAATGGCTCTGCAGAGCTGGCTTCTGTCCCGGTGCATGCTGGGAAAATATAACGAATGGCATCGGTGCCCTCTGGGTGTGCCTGCCCCAATGCATCCTGGGAAAACATGGCCAGTGGGCTGTCTGTTTCTTGCTGCCCAGTATCGCTCGGAGTGTCTCTGTCTTGCCAGATGTCGCGGACCCCCTTCCACTACTCCAGAACACCCTGGGCTCCTACCCCCATGGCCTGCGGGTCTTGAGGCTGAAGAAGGTCATGTGGCAGCAGCACGGGGTGAACCTGGAGGAGTTCAGCCAGCGGCAGGGATATCTGAACACCCTGGACTATTTGAACAGCCTGTGTGGGATCATGCTGCAGGGGCTCAGGGATATCTGAACACCCTGGACTATCTGACCAGCCTGCGTGGGATCGTGCTGCAGGGGCTGGAAAGAAAGGAAAAGTGTCTTGTCAAGCTTCACACAGGTGAGGAGAGAGGGATGGAATCCAGGCGTCAGGGCTGACCTGGTCTTCTCCAGGTTATCCCACCGCTGACACCAATGGTCGTCCTGCACCTTCCTCTGAGATCTAATAGACTTTCTAGCCCTTTGGGCTCCCTCCCCACTGTGAAATTTCACCTGCAATGGACCCTGCTACTGCCGTCACGCACCACCTTTCCTCCCCAAGAATAGAGGCCCTGGTACATTGTGGGAGATGTAGTCTGACCAGAGAGCCTGGGCTGTAGAGGAGAATAGGAGACCTGCAGCTTCTGAACTACAACTCCCATAAGGTACCAGAGTGACTTTTCTACATTGAAATAGCTCGGCTTTTTTACTGAAAACTTGACATTTCCTCTGGAAACTTTGGAACTGTAGAACTTTGTGAGTCCTTTTCGCGTTTTCTTGACAAAAGCAACTTTATTTTTGCCTTTTGACGGCATCCATTTTTCTTCTGATTTTTGGGAAAAGTGAGGTATTTCCCTCAGTATCTTTTTTGACAAAAGTGACTTTTAAATTTGACGTTAATGAGGAAAAACCACTTTTTCCCTGTTCTGGTTTTTTTGACAAAAGCAACTCTTTTTTTTTCTCACATTGCCTGAACCAAAATGGCCTTTTTTCCCTGCAACATTTTTTTGACGCAAACCATTTTTTCCTCGTTTTCCCCCTCTCTCTTTTGACACGAGTCTTATTAACAAAAGCAATCCTCCCTTCTCCCCGCTGGATTTTTTGGCTCTTGTCTTCCTCAGCATCCTTCACAAATAGCGACTTCTTTTTGTTCCCTCAGGCCTGGTGCATGCTTAAAAAGTCAGTCCATTGAGCTCGGCTGCTCAGGGCTATGAACAAACCTATCTCTAGAGCCCTGTAACTTTGTTGCGTTAACCTTGGCGCCAGCTTCACTGGGCCAAGGATGAATGGGTCTGTTGACACAGCTTCTGTTAATCGGGGAGCTGAGTTCCTCTAGTGCCGGCGTCTACGCGGTGGGGTCGCAGCGGCAGAAATGCGCCCTCGGGATGTGGCCTCGGGAGTTTTCTGACAGAATCGAGGGTTTGGGGTTCTGTTTTTCGCGCTGATGTCTGACGAAAGCCTCCATTCCTCACAAAGAGAGGACCAAAGAGGCTTTCTACCAAACATCTCTCTCTCTCTCTCTCTCTTTTTTTTTGTTATTTTGGCAAACGTATTGCTTATTTTCCCCATCTTTTTGGCCCCACATGTGGCAGGAAGGGAGGAGGGGCCAGCTGGGCTGGTGAGGGATAGCCATGTTGGTCGCTGATGTCTGACGAAAGCCTCCATTCCTCACAAAGAGAGGACCAAAGAGGCTTTCTACCAAACATCTCTCTCTCTCTCTCTCTCTTTTTTTTTGTTATTTTGGCAAACGTATTGCTTATTTTCCCCATCTTTTTGGCCCCACATGTGGCAGGAAGGGAGGAGGGGCCAGCTGGGCTGGTGAGGGATAGCCATGTTGGTGGGCAGGGGGTGGGGGGGGGCATGGTGGGGGGGGGGGG